CCTCCGGTATCGCCGTCAACCTCGGGAAGAGCGCGGGCCTTTGGTGCGGCGCCTGGCGCAACCGCGGCGATTCCCCTCTCGGCGCCTCCTGGTCGACCACCTCCATCAGGGTCCTCGGGCTCGACATCGCCCCCAGGAGCTCCGTAGCCCATCAGGAGCAGCATCTTCTCGCCCTCCTGGAGTCCGCCTGCCGCAGATGAACGCCCTTCACCCGCGGCCTATCCCTCGTCGGGCGAGCTAGAGCGGCGAACTCGCTGGTGGGCTCCACCATCCAGCATCACCTGCACGGGTACCTGCCATCACCCCCGACCATCGCCAAGTTGCAGGCCCGACTAGCGAGGTTCGTCTGGGGGCCCGAGCACACGGCGTGGCTTCCCGCCGCCGTCATGGCGAGGCCCGTTGCCATCGGAGGCCTCGGCCTCCTCGACCTGGCAACCCAACTCCAGCTCGCCTGCATCAAGGGTCTGCAGGTCGCGCTCCGCGGAGGCAGGAACGGCTTCGACTGGCTGGTCGCCAGCAGCAGCGAGGCCTGGATCCGCCCTCCACCAGACGGTACGCGTCTCCAGCCCCGCCGTCTCCGGTTGCTGAAGCTGTGGGAGGAGGCCTCCAAGATCCTGAGCCTCAATCACCGGGCGGTCCCCACATCTCAGCTGCTGGACATCCCAATCATCGGCGGCTGCCGGTTCCTTCGCCCTCCCGACCTCCTGGCCGAGGACCGTCACATCGCCCGCCCTACACGCTCCGCCCTGGCTGACGCCGCGGCCCTTGGCGCCTTCTGCCGGAGGCTGACCGCCGAGAACGACGAGGGCTTCCGGGAGACTTCCTTGGCTGCTGCTGTGGTGCTGCGCGGGACAGCCACGCCGTTCCTCAACGGCCTCACGACCCGCTCGGCCCGACGGGCCCTGGATCGTCCGCGCCTCGCGGCCACGCCGATCTCCCGATTCCTGGCGAGATGGGCACCCACCATCAGCCCACCATCCAGGATCGACTGGGCCTCGCTCCGGCGCTGCGCCTTCTCGGGGCATGAGGCCGATGCCGCCTTCAAGTTGGCCCTCCACGCTCTTCCCCACATCCGGCCCATCCTGCCTCGGCCGGCCCCTCGTGTCCTGCCTGCGGGTCCATCGACCGCTCCCTCGGCCACCGCTACTGGAGCTGCTCTTCCATCAGGCCCCTCATCAGAGAGGCCTTCAACATCATCGGGCGGCCCCCTGACCTGCAGGCCTGGATCTTCGGCGGGTCCGGCCTTGAGGACGACGCCCTGACCATCCTGGCGTCGGCAAAGATGCGCGTTTATCGCCACTTTGTCCAGGTTGGGCTCGGTGGAGTGGAGGACCCGCTCATCGCCTGGACGAGGACCCTCGTGCGCAGGGGATGCCTTCCTTCATCCTCCATCATCTTATAAATATGTATTATATATTTCTGTATATATATATTTTTTTCTTTCTTAAACTGTTCTCTTTGAATATTTTGATTTTGTAATATTGTCGAGATGACAATAAAAATGTTTTAATTGTCAATTGTCATACATACATACATACATACATACATATACATATACATATATACACGAGGCGAGCAGCCGCGCTGTTCTTTAGCTCCGCCGTTTTCGCCTCTGGCGTGTGTTAAAATGCCGCTGAACATGTCGAAAGTAGTACTGGCTGAAAGCTCTGAAAGAGCTGATCATGGGCCAGGAAAGCTCAGCTCTGATCTCCAAGCCGTTCCCGAGAAATCTGCGAAAATCAATCTTTAAAGCCAAAAATCGAGCATTGGAGAGAAAAATTCTAATCAAGTAAATTCGCCCGTTGGCAAAATACATGCAAATTCTGCCGCGGTGAACGGCGGTGACGTCAGGCTTTCGACATGCGGTGCTGTGGACGCTGCGGAGGGCTGGGCTGATAGAGTGGAAGCGGCGGAAGCAGGCGATGACGGCTACACCGTCGTACGAAACAAGATGAATAGGCTGTGAACGCTGCTTCCAGTTATGAATCCCACGAGCTGGTGGGTTCTAAAGGTAGGATGTTAGAAAACTGGTAAGGATTGGGAGATGGTCTTAGAAGGCCTTCTCCTGGAGGCAAACTCTAGTGGCATGGACAGTAAGGGAGCTTGATGCTAGGGTAACGTCTATGGAAGAACGCAGGGATCCATTGGACCAGGTATAAGGTGTTTGAACACCCAGAAACTGTAGACCCATCATTGAAGCAGAGGACTCCAAACTGGCTCCACGAGCGTCGCGGGTGGCTCCACGGCCTCAGATTGGAGAGTGGGCATTGGCATCCATGCCAAGGATGCACGGCAAGGGAGCTCTGTTTAGAGTATGTTCCAGAGTTGGTAGAAAAGTGTTATCTGGCGATGCCAATATGCTGAGGCGACGACCTTGTTGTCTAATCATATCAGAGCAGTGACGATGTTGCGGTCATTAGAGCTGAGTGGGATGGGGTTGCTCGCATAACTAGTCCCGCAGGGGTATAGTTATCATTGGGGATGAGGGTGACAAATTTTGAACCAGGCCATTTGAAATTCTTCGGCAAGTCTTGTTGCAGAATGGCGTCTGTTCTTTGTTCTGCTGCTATGCTGGAGAGTTCGAGTACTGCGGAAGGTGTCTTCCTGAGATTGGCTGGAAGAACTTCGAAGGATCTAGTCATTCCGGGTGAGTTGAGCTAATTTGGCCTTCACCGGCGGGCAAGTCCGGGCTGTGGCGTAGTAATTTAGCTCCTCAAACACTGCCCCGGTTTTCTTGAAGTAGTGGCATTTTGCAGAAGAGTTAGGGTAAGAGTGACCTTCATGGCCGATTGTGCCACATTTGTAGCAGATGGGTTGGGCAGCAGGGCAAGCTGTATCACGGTGGCCAAAGCTGCAGCAGCGGTAGCATTGTTTTATGGAGATACTTCTTTCATACCGTAGAATGAGTCCTGCAATGGGGATCTTATCACGATGGCCCAAGACACCTCGTCGTTTACCTCGAGGAAGACTGTGATGTAGCCATGAGGGTTGTCCTTAGGGCGGTGAGCAATCTTGAACATCCTTGTCCCGGAGATGTTCTTGAGATCCTTGTTATTTTGGAGGCTTTCCAGAATCATGTTGTTGGTTGTGCAGCTTTCTACAAGGAACAAGCAATATCTGGGATGGATGGTCGGTCTTTCCATGCAGTTCAAGGAATTGGGGAAACTTTAGTTAGTTTTAAATCTCGCTGCGAGGGTCGAAGCAACTTGGGTGGTCCTTGTGTGGATGACCAGCCATCCATTGAGGGAGGCATCAGGATAATTCAGGATTGAAGGGTCTGCTTTTTGTACTTCACGTAGGATTTCGCGTGCATCCTTGGATGGATTGTTTGACTTTATGAGTACGTGTGATTCATTAGGCGGTTGTGAGATTTTCAGGGGCTGGTTTAGTCTGCTGATTTTTGAGAGTGGGATAGGTTTTGTGACGCTTGGCTCGGATGTGAAGTTTGAGTAGGGTTTCTCTTTGAAGGGTTGATGCTCTTTGGCTTGATTCATCCCCTTATAAACATCAGGTATTATATCCTCCGTTACTTTTAGAGCCCATCCCATCAGGGATTGCATTCACTTAAGTTGTTCTGCAGTCATGCCGCTCGAATTTGCCACTTCAGTCATTTTTATTGTAGCCTTCTGATGGATAGCTTTGAGCTGGTTAAACTCGAGGTCGCAGGAAAGCTCACCAATGAACGAGGGTTCAATACTTCTTTCTCTTGTTTCACAATCCATTTCAACCGTCATCTCTGTCATTTTTCCTTCTTCGTCTGGCATTTTAATACCGCTAATAGGGTCTTTTTTAAGTTATTAAGAATATGTTATAGTATCTCGGTGACTTGTAGTAATCAATTCAATATAATTCGCACATGTTTTAAAAACAAAGCAATTTAGTGAGGATATATAACTAAAGTAAAATTTGAGAGCAAATCATCTACAATTGGAAAATTAAATATAAATAAAGAAATAAATTTAACAACTAATATTTTAAGAATAAAAATGAGTGTGATACTCCAAGAAAATTATAACGGAATATTTGGTATATAGATAGCTATGTATAGTTCAGCATCTTTTGATTGTGCTTGAAGCTTCACAACTAAAAACTCTGTTAGGATATTATCTATATGGATAGGCGCGTGATGATATTTAGAAATACAGATCTTACTGGAATATAACAGATAAATTTAAATATTTATTGACTTGGAAGCTTTTTGCTTGTGAAAGATAAAAAAAAGGAATATATGTATAACAAAACTATACATACAATTATATTATGATGCATTAGCGCGCCCTCTGTTATGAAAATTCGAAACTATTATAGACGCGTATGATTCTTTCAAAAATAAAACAATTTCTAATGCCCTTACTGCAATGGTAAAATTAATGACTGATGAGCCAGGCCCTCCCATTAATTTTTCCATTGCAGTAAGGGCAGTAGAAATTGTTTTATTTTTAAAAGAAACATATGCCTCTATAATAGTTCATATATTTATACAATTATATTAAAAGTATTTAAGAATTGGATTGGACACAGGAAATCTGTTTTAGGTTCAGGAGAGCCTGCTGTCAGTCGCCATCCAATGCCATTTCGTGTCTTATTTAAGCAGTCGGTTAAGAGTAGCACTGTCGGCAATAAACATCTCCTAGAAATTATTGTGAGGTTTTTTGGTTGTGTGGAGATGGAAAGGTTTCAATCACATCAGTGTTTTTTATTTGGAGTATGTAAGCTCTGGAATCAATAATAAAATTCTATGGATTCTTTGAGGAAATTACATTTTTCAAAGTTAAGAGAATATTCTCTTTCTGGGAAATTGGAAAATAGATTTAAGTTTTATAATACAATATAATGTGGCCTATGATTGTAGAACGAAATTTGACAATTATACCACAAATATTTCTTTTAAACGAAAAATCGAAATTTAATTTAAGGAGAAATAACGATTGTTTCTAACCTTGGGGATAAAGTATGATAGGATGAATTGTGAAGAGTAATGATAAACGGAAAAATAAAAGTATCCAGGGATTGAATCGAGCCCACAGTGTTCCGCTTACCGGGCAGATGCCATGTCCACTAGGCTAACCTGGACATATTTTTCCGTTCGTAAATAATATATAAAGTAATTTATAATACAATATAATGCGGATTATCTATATATATAATTGAATGTCTGTCTGTCTGTATGTTTGTACTCTATAGATTCAAAAACCATACATCCAATCGCCGTGAAATTTTGGGATATTATTAGTTTTATCCCCGGGAAAGTTTTTGAAAAATAATTTCTTGAATATCCTTAGAGTTATTTGCAGATTTGTAGATATAACTCGCAAGAAGCGCCCCCATTGCGACGATGTAAACAAGTTTTTTTATCATAAGTTTTATTATCACTAAGTTTATTATCTTAAAGGTTATTTATCAAAAGTAAGATTTCTACCTATTAATTGCGCACAAGTCAAAGTTAGTTTTATCTTTTTTCTACAACATATATATTGGGAGAATAGATAAAATGATGATTTTGTAATGTAGAAAATTAGGAAAGACAAAATTCAGGATGACACGGCAATTTATTTGAGACAATAATAATGATACAATTCCAAGGTAAGATACCATTCCTTTAACTTCCAATTACCGAGGGAACCAATTCATATTGATTTTATTCAACTTATCGAGTATTTTTCAAGGGACCGGGAAAAAATGTTCACTTTATCGAGAGATTCAAATTTACGAGTTTCAAATTTTCAAAATGTATCTATTATTTTTTGACGTGACAACGTCTTAAATTAGGTTGCGGCTGGGAGTCACTTATGAAAAAGTGTAACGCCCGGTAACGTTACGATGAGTCACCGAACGAGAGTGCTGCGCGCGCAGCGCTAGAGAATTAGGCGCATTGAATCGGCGCATGCTTGTCTCTGTCTTTGTCTTTCTCGAACGTTCTTGGCGTTGGAAAAACAAGAAAGCGTCATAATACAAGTTCACACGTGTGGTTAAAGTATCGTCAGCTGTGTCTGTAGTGAAAATGTGGAGTGCTTAGATTCGTCATTTACAACAACTACAACAATAAAGGTAAATAATTGTACACTGATATTTCATTATCGTAAACTATGATTGATTGATTAATTGTTAGATTGACACAAAAGTTGAGAAACTGAGTTTATAGGTTATGTCATACTATTGATAAATGTTGATAGTGTTAAGTAAATTATTAGTTTAAAATTAATTAATTAATTAATTATTATTTTACAAATTTTAAATAGTTTCAAATTTATTTAGCAAAAATTTGAACCTTCGATCTGAATAAATGTTTTGATTTTCGAATTGATTCTTTAAAATTACAAATATTAAGAAAAAGTGGCAGATATAAGAAAACTTTATTTAAACTGTGTTGAGCAAGAATTTCAACATCTAATTTAAGTAAATGTTTTAATTTTCAACTTCATCATTTACAATTACAAATTTTATTTAATTTCAAATTTATTTAGCAAAAATTTGAACCTTCGATCTGAATAAGTGTTTTGATTTTCAAATACCAACGCGGCTGGTGGAGTGGCGATCTATCGTAAATTATCATCGACATCTACGGCGGAAGTGTTCCAAGTTGCGATTACAGACGTAACTCGTGTCATTAAAACCAAGGGTGACATGTGCATGACTGAAGTTACTTGCTTCGCCGCTAATACTAGCTTCAAGTTTATACTCGGTGCTGTATATATTCATCCAGGAGCTAGTATGCAGGATATTGGAATGTTACTATGGCAAGGACTCGGTCCGTACATTCACAACAGCCAGTACGTGCCACCGTTCGTGCAAGTTGATTCTAGTATACCGATTCTTCCGTGTGGTGATTTTAACAAAAACGTAAAGCCTGACAACTCGTTTCTTAATTTCATGAAAAATACGTATAATCTTGATTGCGTATCAAACGTTTCTAAGTCAACTACGTTAAAAGGAACAACTATCGACTTGACTTTCGCAAGACACATTACAGCAGAAACACTTCCTTTCATTTCATATTTCTCCTATCATCGTCCTATCCTCAACAAAATCACTCAAATAGGAATTAGTTAAGTTTAAGTTTACATGTACAATGTTTTATTAAACAAAATATATTTCTATAGTTAAAATTTGTGCAATTCTTATTTTCATTCAATTCCTTGTTCCTATTGTGCAATTTAATTATATTCATATCAATAAATATTCTACCGTTGTCACGTAAAATCTTCGCCCGTAAAACCGACTTTACAGGCAGCCATTGTTTTTGCTGACATGTTGATAGGGCACTACATTTACAAAGTTACGGTTAGTAAACAATGCAGATTTGACAATATTTACAAACTTTTATTACTCTATGTAAACAATGGGCTTATGTTTTGTCATTGTTGTAATGGCCTTTGTTTTGTTATTCTTTTAAAAAAACCATATGTTTCATTGATAGATTAAAATTTAGTCTGTTGTTGTCATATATTTACCTAAGTTCCATGTTCCCTTTTATTTTTTACTGAACATTTATTGACATTTATTAATATGACTGTATTTGAAATAGAAAAAATGTCCCCCGAGCCACCAACAAATCAGCTTATAAATTCTCAGGAAAGACCGCTGCAGTTCTATTTTTAGAACGGAAGTTGGGTGTATGACTCATTAAGGGTTCGCGGATATTCCCACTGGCCGTCCGTTTATTACCGATTTTATGTTTGGATTTTTTGGACATTTTTGAAGGCGATTTTACCGATCGCGCGTACCATGTTTCGCGTTCAATTTTTTTCGGGTCAATACACGTAAATTGAATAGTTTATAATTGAACAATTTAAGAATAAAAGATCTCTGTATATTCTAAAGAATATTCTCTAAATTAAGTGGCTGCCCTTTCCTGTGTGTATGGCTGTCCTTTAATTATATGGTATAAAAATTGTGAAAAATTAAAAATTATAGCCAAACCGTGGCTATAGTGAACCAAAAGCTCCGTCCCATTAGGGTTCGCTATAGAGGGGTTTTACTGTATATATTTGTATATATTTGAAAGGTAATGAAGCATCTTTGTACACCTTTATTTTTTAGCAAATCTTTATTTATCTTAGTAAAGTCTGATACAGCTTTTTTTGTTGATTTGCGAAACGCCAAAAAAGTGACAACAACAAATCAATGATGATGATAACCTTCCCCTTGCAGATTAACATTTTCATAGAAACATATATATATATATATATGATAATTTAAACCAATAACCCTATATTATGTAATACGTATAACAAGCTTGTCATGTTGTATATAGAACTAATTATAAACTAACTAATTATACGCATAATTGACATGTCTCCTTGCACCACCATATGTAATGTACTGAGGATGAATAAATAAAATATAATAGATTAAAAGCCAAGTTAAAAGCAAGATTGAGAGATCCCAAAGTAACTTCTAAAGATAGATGGAAGCCCAGACTGGTGCCAGAGTCGAGTTGCACACGTGCAGAAAGGCAATACTTCCTGGTCCATTTCCTAGTTCCCTTCCTGGTCCAAAAAAGTTGTTTAAATAGGACCCCACGTAGCAACAGCCATTGGCAGCTCTAGTCAGTCCCGGTCAGCGTCACCCCTTGTCGCCGGTTGTCACCAACTCATCGACGATGTAAAACAGTAAGAAATCTCCTATCTCCATCTTTGCTCTTGGCTCGCTTTTTATCTATTCAAGGAACCTTCTACAACGTGTCGCTTCGTTTTTTGTGTGTGTGGACATTCCCAGTTCTCCACTCTGCCTCGACCACGACTGCCTGTACCCTGTGAGAACTGTTAAAGATCCTACAAGGTGCAGAGAGGCACTGGAAAACTCTCCACCCCTGACTGTCCCTCGCGGTTACTACAGGTTTGACCCTCGGTTGCCACAACTTATAGCGAGAGTCGACGAGGTTCTACAACAGGCTTACCAAACTACAACGCATTATTACAGCTAGTCGACAGGATCCCTAATCACAGATAAGGATCCCAACACAATATTACAGATAGTCGACAGGATCTCAACACAACAATTATTACAGAGAGTCGACAGGATCCCTAATCACAGATAAGGATCTCAACATATTATTACCGCTAGTCGACAGGATCCCTAATCACAGATAAGGATCCAACCCAATATCACAGAGAGTCGACAGGATTACCACAACGAAGGAGACCACAACGAAGAAGGTAAAGACTGTCCAGATAGAAAAGAGCCAAGAAGCAAAGATGGAGGAACAAGCACGCTATTCCAACGAAACGACCAAGCAATCTTCCCCTCAACGACACAGCCGAACATCCCGCAAAATAAGCCGGTGAGAAGTTACCCACCTTCGACCTTACAACGCTACCATCCAGACGACATGCCACCATCGCCAAACAGAAGTCACAAACTTCTACAAGCTCTACATGGGACGCCTTCCACGTCATCAGGACAACAACCAAAGACCAAGTCTCCTGACTGAACAATCATAAAAACTGTAAGTTTTTAAAAAATCTACTTAACTCTCTCTTCATGCTAACAACTTGATTTTCCATAAATATAATGTTTATTTTTACTGTAATTATTTTTAAATCAAATTTTATCATTTTTATAGCATTTCAATTCAAATTTTAAATATTGTACACCATCATTTATCAATTTTTACTTTATTTTAAGCAACTTATAAATTTTAATTCATTACTTGCAATCTTACAGTTTTAAAAAAATCATATTATATTTAAATTAGTCGAATCATAATTCTAAACTTATTTGTGTGTTTCTCTTAATACCTTATTTTTATACTAAAAACACCAATGTCTTAATTAAATATACAAAACTTTGCAAAAAATCATTGTTATGTTCACTATTTTATGTACACGCCCCATTCAAATTATAAGTCACTATCATGCTATTGCCCTTTTACAAGTATAATTTTCGCACTAACATAAGCAACGATTTAAAAAATATATTCAAATTTTAATAAACATAGGTGAAACGCATTTTTTAAAAATACAAAAATCGAAAAATACACTATCTTCAAAAGCACAACTAGAAATGTAACTGTCCTTCCCCAAAACAAGTTAAAAATTCCAGTATAGCTACACTCCCTCGTCCTTTTCTTTT